TGGGCATGAGAAGAGAACTAGCCTCAAGGTGAAGCCAAACTGAAGACAGTGGGACTAAGGGCAGAGAAGAACCCGCAAGTGGCAGAGGTCTCTGGTTCGGGAAAAACCTGGGCCCTGGACAACATCTTTGAGCGCCTGGATCAGTCAAGTCTGCTGCTCACCTTAGCTCTGGCCTTGCTATAATAAGAGATGGCAAATATCTTCTTGGTGTAAGCTGGCTAGAATCAGCTCTCTGTAACTTAAAGCTAAAGCCCCCTAATTTATATAAAACAAAATGAACATTCAACTAAATTCTAGCAAAGTACAAAAAACAAATTATCTTTCTCTACAGAGGACAAACTGAAGGTTGCCAGAGGGAAGGGGGTAGGGGGATGGGCGAAATGGGTAAAGGGGAGTGGGAGATACAGGCTTCCAGTTATGGGATGAGTAAGAGCCAGGGATGAAAGGCACAGGACAGGGAATATAGTCAATGACTAGTAGTGTCATATAGGGGCAGACAGTAGCTACACTTGTGAGCACAGCGTGACATACAGAGATGCTGAATCACTGTGCTGTGCATGTGGAAGGAATGTAACACTGTGTGTCAACTGTGCCCAATAAAAATAAAAAAAAAATAATTGTTTTTATAAATTGGGGTAATTTTGTTTCAAAGTATGGCAGCTGGTCCCTTGCACCTGAATCACCTGAGATAACTTGTTTAAAACACAAATGAGAGGGTCACCTGGGTGGCTCAGTCCATGGCATGTCCAACTTCAGCTCAGGTCATGATCTCATGGTTTGTGAGTTCAAGCTCAGCATCAGGCTCTGTGCTGACAGCTCAGAGCCTGGAGCCTGCTTCGGATTCTGTGTTTCCCTGTTTCTCTGCCCTTCCCCTGGTTGCGTGCTCTCTCTCTCTCTCTCTCAAAAATAAACAAACACTTAAAACAATTTTTTTAAATAAAAAATAAATAAAACACAAATGAAAGAAACAAGTCAACCTCTGATTCTAATGCTAAAGGGTGAAAGCTACCATCAAGGCAAGCTGTACAATTTTAGCTGCATAATTCAGAAATTCATTATGCAGCCTGCATGTACTCTGGTTTCCTTGTTTTGAAAATAAGTGTATTCAAACATCCTCCTTGCTTCTTCATAAAAAAGAATGATCCAAAGGTAAACAGAACAATCTCTGATTTGCAATAGAGGGTATTTTTATGAAACTGCTCCAAAGCTTTGCACATAATTCTTGAGAAATAATCAATAGTCTTATGAAATTGTTTTCAAGGCACACACAGAAATTGTCTCCAAATATCATTGCTAAGGAAAAAAGACATTTTCTTTTCTTCAATGTTTATTTATTTATTTTTGAGAGAGACAGAGAGAGAGAGAGAGAGAGGCAGAGAAAGAGAGAGAGAGAAATCCCAAGGAGTCTGACTTGGGGCTACGAACCCTGGTATCATGACCTGAGCTGAAATCAAGAGTTGGACACTTAACCAACAAAGCTACCCAGGCAGCCAGGCAAAAGGGATTTTTAGACTCTATTAGACTCCTACCACATTACCTTAAAATCACAAATGTGAGTCTTTATGAAATCTGCTCCTTGCTGAACTACTAATTCCATGTTTGGACTCAGTTTACACATTCTTTCCCTGCGAGGCCCTTCGTATCCCCTCCCCCGACAGCACCATTTGACCAGGATTAGGTTAGATTGCTTGTCACCAAATCCACGGCATGACACAACACGGAGAAGGTAGTATGTGCACGGCGCACGAGGCTAACTGAATGGGACTGCTCAGTGCAATCCGTGCCCTCCGTCCTGACCAGCTGTCTGGGAGGCTGAAGGAACCAATGAGTGAGCCTACGTGAAATGAACCTGCTTCTGGAATGTCAGGGGGGCATGCTTTGGTTGAGATCGGGGTCCTCAGACCATAGCCTCACACCTGCTTTTGGACCTAACGTTTTATGGGAACACAGTCACACCCATTTGTACAGGGTGTGTTTCTCGTGCTACAACTGCAGAGCTGAAGGGTCGCTGCACAGACCAGACGGCTCCAAACGCTGAAAACAGTCACAAGCTGGCTCCTCCCAGAAACGTTCCCCAGCCTCTGGCTTAGAATCCCCAACTAGAATGGTGTGACCTTGGCAAGGCAAGCGCCGTGTCCACTGTGGTGCCTGACACTCTTCCTCCCTAACACACGTATGGTGTATATTATCTTCTTGAACATCTGGCTCTACTGGTAGATGTTGGTTCCCTGAGGGCAATGAATAGGGTCTTTCAAAATGCCTTGCTGATGTCGTATCCCCAACACTTAGCACAGGGCCTGGCACGCAGTGAGCACTTCATTATATTTGTTGGCTGGAGAAGTGAATGAACGCACTCCTTAAATCATCTTCCATATAAAAATGAAAGGGACGGCTTATTGAGCAGCCCACATCCCACCATGAGGAGAACACGAACCTCAACAACATTAACATTTCCCAGTCTTCGGGGGAAGATGTGCCCACACAGTCTCCTTTGAGAGGCAGCAGCAATGAGCTTGGCTTCTCAGAAGTAGTAGAGGCAAGTGTGGCTGTGGCAACCAGCATGCACACCATTAACAACACGGGCCCCAGGGCCATCCTCACTGCCAAGCCCCCCCCTCCCCCATGCATGCTGTGGCTCCCAGCTGCAGTCTGAGGCTCTCCCAAGGCAGCACCATAATCCATGACCTCACTCCTTCGCTGAAGTTCAGTCTCCATCAGCGTGCAAGGAGACAGTAGCAAGTTTTTAAAGATAGAACGCAGAGGCAGTTTAGTAGGACCTAGCACTCATTTTGCCTGTAAAAGATGTCAGTTTCCATTTTTCCCTCATCATCCAACTAAGATAAATTTAAAAAAAAAATTGGCATGGCAAAAATTAAAACCACACCAGAGTTTTTAAATTGGTCAAATGGCTTCAGTGAGTTTAATAACATAAGAAATTACTACCACTAGTAAAGAGGCAAGTTTTTTTATGTTTGACATTCAAATGTATAATTCACAAAGCTGGGAAGATACAAACTACCAAGATGCAGTAATGAAAATTGCAAAAACAGGATATGGGTTTCATCAGAACCTGCTAATTAATACAGCAACATACAACAGCAAGAGATCAGCATGAACAGTATCCCAATCAAGTGGAGGCGTATGAGAAATGGCCATGAATGCCCCAAACACCAGAGAAAGAAGAATGCCAAACACTGTATTAAACTATCTCCCCTGGACACAGTCTGCTTTCCAAAAAAAAAAAAAAAGGCAGAAAACAAAAACCAAGCTGACGCTCAACTTTATGCCAGCATTTTCCTTTGCATTTATGACAATCACAAACCAATCCAGACTTTGGAAAGCCTTATTAAAGAGGAAAGAAGGGGTGGTCAGAAATTCCCTACTTTTTATCCATGCAAATTAGTAGTATTTAATGTACCAACTTTCCCAGCAAATAAACTAGTATTATTTTGAGGGAAGCGGGGTGTTTGTCATCCAATGAGCAATGAGTCAAACAAATCATGCTTTATTTTCAAATCCACAGAACCTTGATATGGTATCACATTGGTCCCTTTTCCTCAGTATCTGAAAGAAATTTTTTTCACAGAAGTTCTATCATACAATTTTGTTTTTAATGTTTTATTTTTGAGAGAGAGAGAGAGAGAGAGAGAGAGAGAGAGAGAGAGAGAGACGGCATGACCAGGGGAGGGTCAGAGAGAGGGAGACACAGAATCCAAGGACAGGCTCCAGGCTCTGAGCTAGCTGTCAGCACAGAGCCCAACGCGGGGCTCGAACGCACGAACTATGAGATCATGACCTGAGCCGAAGCCAGACACTCAACCAACTGAGCCACCCAGGCGCCCCTACCATACAATTTTCAAATCACGATATGGGATATAATCATAATAGTGGCATTAGACCAACTCCCTCAAATATTTATTCTTAGAGCAGAATGTTTAATGTGAGAAGCAAATGTTTAAGTTAGTACCTCACTATGAACTCCTCATCAAAAACTGTATCTATCCTTATATTGGGGGAAAGCATATTTGCTATGATTTGGCAATAATCTTTGATGTAGGGACACTGATTCCAGAAAAACATCCTCAGAAAATAATTCAATAAAGAAAAGACTCACTTTCAGTAGGTCTTTCATTACATTACAATATGCCTTAAAATAATAGAAGCTGGAATAGACATAATGCCTAACTAGAAAGAAATAAGGAAGTGCTGGAGCAAAAGTTAGGTTTATCAACCAGGGGAAACATAATCCAATCAGTACAAGTTAAAATGATGCAAACCATACAGTACAATGCAACCTTTTTAATGGATTGCTAAGTAGAACACACTACAGCTAATACCTGTGAAAATATCTGAAATTTCCTGATTAGTACAGAGAAAACAAAGTCATGAGGTGCCCTTCAGCAGTGTGTGACTTTCCAACTACTCAGCCACATCTCTCCCTGCTTCTCCTATCTCTGAGGTCTCCTGATGGACTGTTCTCATTCCTCCCCGATGCCCTTCTTATGCTGTATTCCTGGCTTGCAACATCTTCTGTCGACTGCCAGACAACCCGCCTGCACCACTGTGTTCAAGACCCAGCACTTCCACAAAGCTGTCCATTCCTCTGGAGTGCGATAACTTTGGATTTCTTAGCCCTTAGTGATTTTGTCTGCCTCCTCTTCTTAGGCAGACTGTAAATTCCACAGAGTTCTTTTTAGCACATGCAATAAGTAATTAATACATGATTCTGAGTGAACTGATCAATGCATATAAACTCTTCAGAGCAGGGGTTATTTCTTAGGTTGGTATCCACAATACTTCCCACAGTTCAGGCAAACGGTAGATTGGCAATAATTTCACTAAAAAATTGGAAAAGTGCACATATGTGTATTGTTACACACGACTACTAGCTGTAGTACAGGGTATGGCTTTCTCCCTTATCTCTCCTCCAGTCTCTGCTTCTATGGAAGGTCAGATACGATTCTTTTCTAAAAGGAGCGTCATCGATGAAGGAAACTTACCCAGGTCAAACTGGCCAGAAACGTAGCCACAAGTCTGCCGGACTTCCTCACTGTCCCAGCCCAAGGGGTAGAGGGCACAGCCAGCACCGATCAACAAGCCTGAAAGAGATAGGCCAAGAGGGCTTTACTCGTACTCCTCGGCATCTCTAGCAAAAGGCAGCAGCACGGAAGGGAAAATCAATATTAGCAACATAGCAAAAGAATATGGCGTCTGCTTTTTGGAAAGCACCAGCCACTGCTCCTTAAAGCAATCTAAGGACAGTTTGATTCCAGGTACTGGAATTGAGTCAAGTCTGCTTAAAAGGGGGGGAACCTCCCAAAAACCCAAAAAACAAAACAACAACAACAAAACCCTAATAGCTCAGTTTGATTCCAACTTTGCCTTTTAAAGCATTAAAAGCCTTGCAAATCCTGTTTAAGAAATACATTTCAGAAGCTTTTTAAAATCACTCTTGTAAAAATCCCACGAATTCCACCATCCATCCATGTAAACAAGTAAGTCAAGAGCAAGCAAAAGTGCCTGATAGGTTATACTTCATCATACATTAGGGTTTTTTTTCTTTTTCTTTTTCTTTTTTTTCCAATTTAAGAATCCAAATAGAATGTGTCAGCACCATCCAATTTTGCCTAGGGGCAGAGAGAGCATAGAGATTCTCATGAACTGCGTCGGCACGTCGATTGGACCTATTAACTGTACGCTGTTAGAACTCCGTTGAAAAGTTGAGAATCAGGGACCGCTCATCTGTCTCAGAAATAATCTAGAAGACAGATATGTATATAATAATCTAAGTCCTCCTTGCAGCTAAAACCAAACGTTTTGACGATTACACTGAAGAAGGTGGCGGTTTTCTTTTAATGTAATGAAGTTACCAGGGCCGGGCACTCTGAGCTGACAGCTGTGGTTGGTGCGTCTGCAGTTTTGCTTCAAAGGCAAAACGCTTTCACCAGAAGCTGGACGGGACTTAAGCAGTCACCACCGGAATCGGAGGGCTGATCTGAAAGCGCCATCCTGTCACACCAGTCAGCGAGGACTGTCATCGTCCGTGAGTCCCACAAGTGTGCTGAGCCAGGAGGACCACCACGTAGATGGTCTGAGTGGTGAGAACACCAGCCCTGTCCCAGATGAGGCATGAGGGAGGGAGCCCCTTAGATGAGAAAATCCACTCACGTGGTAACACAGAGGTGGAATGACGGGGCCCCAAATGCCTCGCAAGAGTTTCTGTATTTGTGTCCCTTTCTGTTCCCCTTTTGCTTCTTCTGCTCCTGGTAGCTGACCCGAGCGGTTATAACCCATCCACACAGCCTGTTGACAGTCACCAAAGGAGGGGCTGCTTCCCAAGCCCTCCCCAACCTCTACGCTGAGCTGTGTGGACAGACACCCCCCATGAACTGACACAAATTTCCCACCCTGGGGCCCCTCCTCACAATCTGTCCCTCGGTCAACAGTAAAACAGCCATTTCATGCTGAGGGCCTGCGATCCGAGGGAAGGCCTACAAAGAATCATCGGAACTGCATATCACTAATTCCGGGATGCCTTCGATGCAGTCAGATCAGTATGAATTGTGTCGAGGTTGAAAACTAACTCAGAAAGCAACAGTATGAGGTTTTGCCGACGAAGCAGATGCCTGGTGACTGGTTTCCTTAAGAAAGCATTTGCGTCGCTCTGAAGGCAACTCGAAATGAGTGTTACCCACCACCGGGTGAAGAGATAATGAATGAGGCCAAAGTTGGTGTGAAGTGAGTTCCATGAATGTTTAATAAATAACATGGTATCATTTCCATGATACTCACTTCTTAAATTAATAAGGAACACTATTTTTTGAGTACTTGGGAGCAATTTTTTAAATGATGACAAGTGCAGAAAGAGAAAATTTTCAAATGTAAAACAAATGAAAAACTTGTAACATTTAAATCATCAGTTTTCTCTGTTTCGGATAGGCAAACAAATGATAAAAAGCCTCACTGGCTAATGTCCTTTGCAGACGGCAGGGAAATGTGTCACATATCCATGAAAGTGCCTGTTTTGATTTGCATGATGCCAGGCACTTTGGGAAACTGAAGAGAGAGGATTTTATATGTGGAGCAATTTGGAGTGTGGTTTTCTAAGCGGTAGAACGCTTGGCAGACAAGGTTCTATTGAGCTGTCTTTGTGAAACACTATGAGCCGTAGATTCAACCATACAAACTGAGAACAATTTCATACGTAGAAATGTATGTAATGTGCATGATTTAAAAAAATACCATGGGCATAGCTCACATTAAAACCGGTAGCCTTTGGAGCACCTGGGTGGCTCAGTAGGTTAGACATCTGACTCTGATTTTGGCTCATGATCTCACAGTTTGTGAGGTTCTCTCTCTCTCTCTGCCCCTCCCCTGCTTGCACTCACCCACTCACTCTCACTCTCTCTCAAAATAAATAAATAAACATTAAAAAAAAAGTGTCAGGGGATGGCGACTAGCTTATCTGGGTTTTTAAATATTAATATTTACGTAATTTTTGTGTGTTTTGTCATCCGCTAAGGTGTGCTAACAGCAAACATACTGCAGATTATAAAGGTCTGAGGAACATTTCTAGAGAAAAACGTATGTTGCAAACCTATCAATCTAATTGGTTCTTGCAGTTTTAGGTAAACATCGGTGGCCTCCCACTACCTTTCTGCTCGTTGCATGTTCTGGAGAAAGCAAGTCCTAGATTAAATTCAGCCAAATATACAGTGATGTTTCTTAGTCAGCTGGCACAAAAAAGCAGTCAGATGACCAATTCTGCAAGCTCAGTGAAACCCTCTTCCCCAAACCCATCACACAGTCATTCGAACAAGTACCTTCAACACACCGTAAATACAACAAATCTTCAGCCAGCAGGTTTGGGACACTTTAGATCAGGCAATATCTTTCATTTAAAGGAATGGGAGAGGGGGCCCTGGACTAAAGAGAGTTTCGAGCTGTACTGCTCAATGCAGTAGTCATGAACCACATGTCGTGAGTTTAAGTTTATTAAAATTAAACTAAAAAAAACCATTTCTTCAGTTGAACTGGCCACATTTCAAGTGCCTGACAGCCACAGGGCACAGTTGGCTACCACACCACACAGGGCAAAGGTAGACTATTTTCACAATTGCAGCAAATACTATTGAAGAAGGCTATTCTAGACCTAAAAGGCTACCTCAAAAGGACGCAGGGCTGGAGAGATCTTTATCCCCTAACCCTAATCCTGCTTGTTAATCAAAATCATCCCTGATCTTTTAGATTCTCCCTCTCTAGGTAGGGCTGGAGATCAAGAAACTACATTTCAAAACTCTTCTCCTGGCAGAAATTCTAGTTCATGTTCTCTCAAAGAGAAATGCTTGTGTGGGATTTAGAAGGTAAAAGAGAAAAATAAACCAGTTCCCCACTGGCGGCTGCAACTAGAGACCTGCCTTTTTGTAGACCATAGACATAAGATTTGGGGAGTGGCTGTCAGGCAGCCTCCTCAACATCACCCACTCAGGGCAGATCATCCATTATAGCTTCTTTCTACCCCTGTACTTCCTGATTTCCTGAATTCTTCTCTGGCCTTCACTTCCCCAAACCTAAGAGGTCTGTGAAACTTTAAATCCCTGGACTGCATCCCTTTCTACTCGAAATACCTACAGTGGTTTCTTTCATTGGTCAGACTCTGGCTGGTATATGCCCAGCTCGTGCTGGCACAGATCTTTCTATCTTACCCTATTACTTGCACAAAATTCATTTTCTCAATTAAAAATTCTCTCTAGGGGCGCCTGGGTGGCTCAGTCGGTTAAGCGTCTGACTTTGGCTCCGGTTATGATCTCACAATTTGTGGGCTCGAGTCCTGCATCAGGCTCTGTGTCAACTAGCTCAGAGCCTGAAGCCTATTTCAGATTCTGTATCTCCCTCTCTCTTTGACCCACTCCTGTTCATGCTGTCTCTCTCTCTCTCTCTCTCTCAGAAATAAATAAAAAAAACACATTAAAAAAATTCTCTCTAAAAACAAGTTCTCTCTATTACAGCTTATACTGATTAATAAGCCTCAGGAAGTATAGACTGATATTAGAAGGCTTCATGTTAACCCTCTGTGGTGTGGTCTCTGGTTAGGGAATTTATGCTAATTAATCTTTCCTGGAGTGTGAATTTCTGAAGTGAATACTCCAACTGTTAACCAATTACCCTTAGCGTGTTGATTGGAGCCAACTAGCATTTTATTGTCCATACTGAGGTACTATATTGTGAAGCCAAGTTAGAGACAATGTAACATACAGGTAAGAACATCTTTTTCATCATCACTGAAGTATTACCCAATACAACATCCTACTAGTTTCAGGTGTACGTAACAGTGATTTGATATTTTTATACATTATGAAATGATCTTCCTGATAAGTCTAGTTACCATCTATAATCATACAGTTATTACAGTATTATTGACTATATTCTCTATGCTGTACAATTGCATCCTCATGACTTACTTATTTTATAAGTAAAAGGTTATACCTCTTAATCTCCTCCACCTATTTTTTTTTCCCAACCCCTTTCCCTCCCTCTCTGGTAATCAACAATCTGTTTCCTAGATCTGTGAATCTGTTCTGTTTGTTTTGTTTGTTCATTTGTTTTTGTTTTTTTTTTTTAGATTCCACATATAAGTAAAATCATATGATATTGTCTTTCCCTGACTTCACTTAGCATAATAACATTAGGTCTGTCCATATTGTTGTAAATGGCAAGAGCTCATTCTTTTTTATGGCTGAGCAATATTCCATTATATATCTCACATCTTCTTTATCTATACATCTATTAGTGGACACTTAGGTTGTTTCTATATCTTGGCTACTATACATAGTGTTGCAGTGAACACAGGGGTACATATCTCTTTTTGAATTAGGGTTTTCATTTTCTTCAGATAAATACCCAGCAATGGAATTGTTAGATTGCATGCTAGTTCTACTTTTAATTTTTTGAGAACTTCCATACTGTTTTCCATTAATGACGGCACTGATTTTTTACTCCTACCGACAGTGCACAAGGGTTCCGTTTTCTCCACATCCTTGCCAACATTTGTTATTTTGTGCTTTTGATAACTGCCAATCCGACTGGTATGAGGTGATAT